TTCAGTCTAATACAGAAATAGATAATAATTTTATTGAATATTTTGATATTTTAACTGAACGAAAATCCACTGGAAAATTGGGACACTAATAAATTCACAAGTGACCTTTAGTTATTATTATTACCATCGGAATAATAAATCGACCAACTACCTTATATCGAAGAAAGGAGCCATAAAAACCTAAGAGGATCCAGTAATGTTTATTACTTTATTGTTTGCCCTTATATCGGTCATTTACTATTTTTGTTGGGTATAAGCCACAATTTTCCTTAAAAAGTTTATTTGACATTTTGATTTCCACAAACTTAATTGTGAAGTAAATTTGTGACTTATTCCCAACGAAAATAGTAAATTGCATTAAGATGCCACAAGAAAATAGCTTTAGAATAATATTGGTCATGTAAATTACTGTTGGCTTTAGCATTATTAGCGTTTCCCATTTTGTGGTTTTGTGAATGTGTTTCTCTTTTTCTTTTCCTACAGTGCCTAGAGTAGTTTAATGTCTTATGTGCCACTTATTTACATATATATATATATATATATATATATATATATATATATATATATATATATATATATATATATTATATATATATATATATATATTATATATTCTCGCGGAACTTGATCACCTTGGTGATTATGTTTGTGCTCTATAGGACCTCTTTGAAGATAGTATTGATACCGAGCTGTTGTATTGTGGTGTATTTTGGCATAAAAAGGACATTCGATAAGTATATGTTTGATTCGGAAAGTGCTGAATTTTGGTTGTAGAGATGATGTCATCAGATAGCCAAGTGTTAGACGGGTATGTCTTGTATGCAATGTCCGAATGATTTCCTTATTTTTTCGATATGAACTGGGACAGGTAAGTAGGTTCACTGAAGGTTTGATTTCATGCAGCACTGAAGTAGCTTTATTCCAGTGAATCTGCCACGTGAATAGATTATTCTTTTTCAGTCTAGCTTTTATATTGTTGCAGATTTGTATATCGGCATCGGCTTTTTCGTTACCACTAGTCTCGATATGGGACGGTACTCATATCAGTATGACTGTTTTTTTATAAGAAGCTTATATGTGTCATGAATATCTTGTGACGGGTAGCTCTTTCGAAGCGACAGACTCAGTAAAACACAGGTTGAAATAAAAATAAATCTATTAATTCTAACGTATGTACAAAAATAAAAAGAAGATATATTCCGTATCCCCGCTTGGATCCCGCGAGAGTGAATTCCCCGGCGGACGTCTGTAAAAGAAAAAAAAATATTATTACTAACAAAAAATGAAATACGCGAATTCGATCGTACGCAGACTTATAGTCGCTTCCACCTCAGTCCAGCGGAAACGCCAAACGTTCTCGCGAACAAAATATTCGATTGTGCGGATCCACGTTATACTCTGAATCAGCGTTGACGGCAACGTTCAATCCACGATAACCACGGGTTCTGCTTGATTAAAGACAGAGTATAATCCTCACTGCAGAAGTCTCTCTGATCGGGACGGCTCGCAGATTCAATACACTAGCGAGCCAGGGAGCCTAGAGCGTTAGCCACAAGACTTTCTTAATTAGTCGCTTCGGACCCCACCTTGTCGTTTTGTCGTGGAAATGGATGCGTGACTATCGACACTCCCACGATTCGAACTGTTGAACGTTCAGCACATCGTTACAATATTGGATAAGAGGATAGTTGGTACATATAGCATTAATGAAGTGTATAGAAGAAATTGAATCAGTGCATATGCCTATATGTGTATTTGGATATTGTTGGGCATATTTAAAAGTGCCTAGCTAGTAGTTCACCAGTGTGGATACTACACCAAGGAGCAATTTTATAGAGTTTGATAAGCTATTGTAGAGTGGTTACAGAATATCCAACACCAATTCAGTCTTTGATGCGTCAGTGTAAAGAACTATTTTATATTTATTTTTGTTTATAAGTTCTTAATGTATTAACATTGGTATCTTCTTTGTTAAAAAATTCCAAATATCACCACTACAGCAGTACTTCCTTTAACCAATCACGCAATTTGAAACCTAAATGATACATGGGTCTTATCCAAACGGTGGTCAGATTCATAATTACTTATATTACGCTGTTTTGGTGGAACAATACAGTGCAGCAAAGACAATAATAGAGTTGAAAAAAAAAGAAATCCTTAATCCCGTCAGTACCATAGGTGTAGTGAGATCATGCTCTATAGTAGCCGCATATGTAATGGTAGAAATTCTCTCTTTACATATACATATAAAGAGGATCACTCTAGAAACGTGTGATATAGCCTATGAATCTAAAACTAGATGCGCTGACTTATCATTTGACGATCCTAATATCTAGGCTCCATATAAATATATGATAAGTAGTAGCAATACGATAAGGCAAAAATAGACAGCAGGCAAAAATTCCAGACAAGAGAAAACACACGTTTCTCCATAATCTTCTTCTTCTTATTTTTTTTATATAGACATGACTCTGTCTATTCTCCTGTGTCCACCTAATATTCTCCACATTGCATCTACGTCGTATATCTGTACTTCTAGCTTTGTCTGATAGTGTATTACCATCAATTTTTCTAAGTGTTTTCATCTCTGCTATTTCTAACATCCTTTTTGTCCTGTCTGTGTTAGTAAATTAGCTGTTGTAACCATGCATTTTGTATTTTTTGGAATAATTAACATGATAAATTTTCTGACGGTTATATTAAATTGGTGCAGCATAAGTTGTAAATCATCTTCACTTGGAGTGAGTAGTATTGCGTCGTCTGCATAGCAGAATATTCCAAGTTGTTTTTCTCCCATTTGGTATCCCTTTTTATATTATTTCATCCATAATTAGGTTAAACAATAGAGGACTCAGGGAATCTCCTGTCTTGTCCCATTGTTAGCTTTAATAGGATCGGTCAGTTTTTCTTCTACTTGTACTTATACTTTTTACTTTTTGTTACTGTACTTTTACTTTTCTCCAAAATCTGAGGAAGTAATTCGAGCTTACATCGGTCAACCTATTTAGAAGTGCCACAAGCAAGACAAGAATTGCCATGTAAATAGTCAACGTTTGCATCGGATAGGTCACCTGAAGAAAAGAAAGATGTATTACCTCTAAAAGCCAGTCTATAATTTGTGAGTCTGTAATAGCTTAATACTGTGAACAAAAAATTAAATAACTTTTTATGCACAAAATAATTTTAATATGGCATCCAGAACAAAAAGGAATTGCTAATGAGATAGAACAAAAGAACTGGAATGAAATTGCTGAAAGTCTTACTTAAGAAAGAGCTAGTACTTTTTTATCGAACTAGAACTATTCTGTGATATTCTAAAGCTGCATCGTAGAAGATGTCAGAAAATGGAAAAAGGTGTAACCTACTTTTTCTTCTTCTACTTATGGTGCCCTATCCAATTAGTGGATGTTGGCGACAATTCTGGAATACTGCTCTCGATGGGCATCGAGATTTGTCCAATCCCTTATGTTTTTAAGCCATGAGTATTTCTTTCTTCCGATGCCTCGTTTTCCTTATATTTTCCCTTCCATAATAAGCTTTAAGAACTGGTACTTGGAATTTCGAAATATATGACCCAGATAAGCAGTTTTTCTTCTTTTTATTATTGGCAGCAATTCTCGTTCTCTTCCAATTCTATTTAATACCTCGACATTTGTTGTGCGATCTATCCAGGGAATTTTAAGTAGTCTTCTAAATACCCACATGTCAAAGGCCTCTAATCGGTTCATCACATTGGCCTTTATGGTCCAGGTTTCTACACCATATATGTATGGAGTAAATGTAACATTTTACAAAGCAATATCGAAGCATGCTTGCAAGCATGCAAGTTGAAGCTGCTGTTGCTTAGCAAGGTTCTTGTATTAGTAAATGCTGTTGTGGCTTGCTCAATCCTGCTACGTATCTCTATGTCTGGATCTAGATCTTCAGTTATCCAACTACCGAGATACCTGAACTTGGGAACCTTTTGGATGTTCTTGTTGTTTACTCTTATATTCAATTGCATATTTCGTGTTCTACTAACCACCATTACCTTCGTCTTGTCTATATTAATCTTCAAGCCCACTCGTTCTCCTTCAGTGTTTATTCTATCTATTAATCGTTGTAGCACTTCTTGGCTATCAACTATTATGACTGTATCATCAGCATAGCGAAGATTACTAATAGTCTGTCCGTTGATTTTGATTCCATCTTCAGTGTCACTTAAGGCTCTATCGAAAATCGTTTCAGAGTAAAGATTAAAAAGGAGGGGTGACAGAACACAACACTGCCGTACACTTTTTTCGATTGAAAAATATGATGTAGATTCCAGTCCTACTCTCACAGATGTAACCTACTAAAAATACTAAATTCACTACGCAAAACTAATAGTAACGCTTTAGAAAATCACAGGTGTTCCCACTGAATACTACTCACAGATATTATCTCTATAAAAGGAATAAAGTGCAACAGATAGAGTAACATGGCTTTCTGTCATGTTACTTAGAGTCAATAGGCTTTCTTAAATTACTATAATAGGCTTTCTTAAAATATACATAGATATTTTGGTGAAAACATAGAAGTCGGTTATACACAAAAGATCTTTTAGGTCTCAGGTTGAATAAACCTTACGAAACTAAACTACCTGTTTAAAATCTACAATCTACAAACATTAACAGAATACAGTATTGCTAAGATCAATAATAGTATGAAAAGTGCACATCCATATGATTAATTAGTCATAATAACAATTAGTACTTATTATATTATATAAAATTACTTTTGAAAAACAAATTAGAGTACCTATATACATAATTTTTTGTACATAGTACACGTTGCTTTATTGAAAACTTCCAAGAATAGGAAATAACGGTTACCACCATCTCTAAATTATGGATAATTTAGCCAGGGGTCAGAGATGGGTCACAAAGTGGGGAGACCAAGAGGCGCCTCTTTTTAAATTGTTTTCTGTAAATGCAACACCTGAAAATTACCTATAAATAGGTAATAATACATTGTAACAAGATCAAATGTGGTTTACATTTTACAACATGAAATTGGTAAGTAAAGAGATACCTCTCCTAATAGTGAACTATTTTATTATTTCACAAATTTTGTAGTATTTTTGTTTAATTTTGGAAAAAATTTATTTATATTTAAATAATGAAAATTTAAATTATAATAAGGAATAAATAAAATATTATCTAGGGCATTTATCTATCAAATTAGTTTTAGTTTATTTTTTCAAATGCATCATCTTGGTAGGCCGATTATTAATTCTACGACACATGTCTGGGAACTTAAACTGAAATTGAGTGTACCTAAGTGACAATATGTTATTACGTGTTTGTGAATGTACTACTCGCTTTTCTTATCCGAAACAATTTACGTGTGGTATCTCAGTTTAACATGTGACCATTCTGTTTTTGTCCGATCTTTGGTTTGGAAACAGACTACAATTCTAAAATATTCTTCTCCTTTTTCTTCCTTTTTTTTTATATACATATTATTCTGTTTATACTGTGGCTTAATTCTCGGTTTAATTCTTGATCTGCCCATTGATCTCCTCGCAGTGGGTGATTTATACATCAATGGTCTATTACACAAATGTCCTAAGTGCAAAACTATATGATTAGAGTTATTGAAAATTTAAAGTTTTTTAGCCATAATTCACAATAATGTTCTAGGATATCTAATATGCTTTCCTAAACTAGGCTGTAGTGTTAGCTTAACCATGAGAACGGTAATTTGTGATATTTGATTACACTATAAAAAATTTTGTAAAATTATCTGAAACACCTGTTCTTATCACATTAGGTGCAATACCTGTTTTTTTTTTAATGCACTTACCACATTTCACGTAAGACAATTCTTTGCTAATAAAACGATAAGTACCAATTATTATAAAACAATAACAAACAATAACAATAACAACAAATTAATAAAGTATTCAGGAACATTATTCCCTATTTTCAAGGTCACATGCATTTAGAACCATGAGTAGAATTCGTTGGTAGAATTTGTTTTATAAAGTTTTTATAGTCCTCTATGATAACTTTCTTTTATAAAAGAAACACTAGATCCTTTTTCTTTTTTTGGAAAATTTGTAAACGCGATGTGTATTTTCTATTTAAAATTACCGATTCTTATTTCTTTTTTCATCTCTACTTGCGTTTGTTTGAAATATCGATTTCAAAAAAGCTTTCTTCTATAAGGATATATTTGTATTGTATAATGTTAGGAGTTTCCTTATAGAAACGAAGCCACTTTATTCTGGGACTTCAAATACAGTGTCTTCAACGAGTTTTTGCAAATCGAAAAATCAGTGAGTTTCATATTAGTGATATATTTCCTAGTCTGGCCGTCGAAGTTAATCAACACCATTTACGTGTACAGTAAATTTTCTTGTGGCGTTTGGCCCTCTCTATCGTGGAGTGCATCAAGTCTGCCTCTAGGTATGGGTGTCCAGTTTTCATAAATTTTGGGTCAATATTCTTGAAATTATCGATATTATTAACAGCATATAATATGACTACGGTCAGAAATTTATTTCGATTTTGACCACGGCATGTATCAGAGAATGATGTCACGTGTATCACAATTTCCGGGAAGTTCATTAGATATTTCAACAATCAACTTTCAATTTCAACAATGCCTTTATTTTCATGTGTTTTATACCAAACAAAACAGTGCTCATCACCATTGGATGTATCATATATCTATCTATATAAGGATTTTTACAGCTGTCGCCGCCTTCCTTCTTTCAGCCAACGTCTCCAGTCCTTTCTTTTCTGCCATTCTGCATCTCTAAAGTCTCGTCTTTCCATAGCCTCATCCACTTCATCCATTCATGATCTTCGGGTCTACCTCTTTTCCTCCTTCCAATTCAAAATCTTTGCTATCCACCTTGTATGATCTGTTCTTCTCACATATCCATACCAAACCAAATTTTTCTTCGATGTAGCTGAGTATGTCTTGTTCTACTGCCATTCTTCGTTTTATCTCCCCATTTCTGATGCGATCGATTTTTGTCACTCTACAGTTTCTTCTCATGAACTCCATTTCAGTTGCTGTGATTTTGGACCTGTTTCGTTTATTTATTACCCAATTCTCTGCTCCATAGGTCATTATACTGCGTACTGCGATGTATCATAAATGGTGAAATTATAAACATTTTTCTTGTGTATATAAGAAATTTGATTGTCACCTGTGTGAGGAATAGGCAAAATTGCTTGCACGTCAAAATATATTGACTTAAAGTTTTGCCTTCGTCTGCGCGTGATCATTTTTTATCATTCGTTTTCATCTGAAAAGCTTCTTTTTCGCATTGCTTGTGATTGTTGTAATCGTCTTGTAGAGGTCATTTGTCTTTGGCGATATTATACGAATTGCATAGCTAACATTGATCTTTCTTAGGTTTGTAAAAATCCAATCTCGGATCATATTCGTGAAATGTTTTTGGTGAACAAAAAGTGATATAGCTTAAACATTTCTTTCCATAGAAGAATCATACTTGTATAATCTATACACTTTAGAAAAAATTAAGATCAGGTGATAGGTACTGCTTCTGAGAATCATGCCTACAATAATGTAATTCTATTCTTGGGAACGAATCAATATGCACCTTCACTAATGGTATGGTGTCTGAAGGAGTGACATTTGGTGGTTGAACACCAATTCTCTTATTACGTCTGATATAAAGGCCGCTTGCATTCATACTATTTTAACAGGTTTCACTATTCGACTATTCCATGCCAAATCGCAAATGTACCACAAAAAAATTTTAAACACACTCTGTGGGTGTCTCTTGTAAAGTTTTTTAAATAATAAATTCGGGATGTTTGTCCTTTTTTAAAATTTGGGTTTTCTAATCTGGTACTTCTTTCCCACTTCGACTAATCTACGTTTTCCTACTTAATCTTAATTTCTTAACAAGGGATCGATGAGAATTGATTCTATTCGCTTTTTGTTTCCTTTTTTTAAGTATTTCATTGTCAGATAATCAGTCGACGAGTCAATACCATACAAAAAAGGATTGTAAGAACTTAAAGACTGCGGATAAGGTTCATTCAATTCTTCAGACTTTGCAACTTTTTCAATAACACATGGTTTTAAAATAGCAACTGCACAACTTTTTTGTTCAGACCATCGATATGTGCCTTAACGTTTTGTGTGTTATTAAATATTATATAAACAAGATCATGCATGTTCTAAATCATTGCTACCCTACTTCTAATGTTGTTATATCGCTAATATATTTTGTTATTCTAGTTTTTAGTTTCTGAGTAGTAATTTGTACATGTATTTAAAAAAAAACGTTAATATTATTTCCCTTGTCCAGTCGTCAAGATTATGTATGGTGTAGTAATTTTCTGCATTAGTCCTTGTTATCGTTTAATAATTTCGTCTTTATTTGTCTGTCATAATAAATATTTGCTCTTCACCTGATAACTCTTTCTGAGATCTTTTCATCTGTTGTTATGTTTGGTGCTTCTGGTGAAACCATTTACAATTAGTTCTGAACAAGTTTGTAAAAAAAGGTATCCACTTATGTCAGGAATCCCCCACATGTTTAATAAGGGTGATTTCCGACAGTACTTTCATTTTACTCCTCTATTTTGTTAAAAGATTTTCATATTTGTTTTCTTCACCATGGAATTCCGACCCCAATCTTTTTATTAATATCTCCCAATGCTCTCCCAGTTTTCTTCTAAACACTCGCGTAGCGTTGTCGGTAGATTACATTTTTTCCTCTCATCTGAATATGCAGGGCATTCGATTAAGAAATGTTGGACACTCAAACTGTTAAAACACTTCCCGCACATTGGATGAACACTTCCAGTAATATGGTATTCGTGTGTTAAGCGTATATGTCCTAATCTCAGCCTGTTTAATATAATTTGGTCTTTCCTGTTGCTACACATACTCTTCCATCTTGTAACCGTTGTTTTTATGTCCCGTAGTTTTTGTTGAGATTGATTCCATTCTTGAAGCTACTGTTTTTTCATTGTCGAGTTAATCCAGTGATGAAAATCTTTCTTATAGATAGGTTCTATCAAGTCTTCGTTCTTAACTGAAAATTTGGCGGCAGCATCTACTCTTTCATTACCATGTATACCTACACTTCATCTAATTTATATAACGATGCACGTCATAGGCGTCATAGCTTGTGACGTCACATGATACCAGCACGAAATATTTATGCGGTAGGTGCATCGAGCAATAAGACAAAAGAGGGAATGTAAAGGTAGTGGGGGTAAACATATTGATAGACAGGAAGTGCTATTTTGAGAGGCCACTTTAAACAAAGAAAGAGAATCTCTTTCCTTGTTTAAGAAATCAAATTTAGTTGGGTTATGTTATTGTTGATGTTATTGTTTGTCAAAACTGTCACATGAAAGCTTATTTATATTTTCTATTGAAGTTTTTTAACAATTGTTTAACATTTTAGACTATTATCGTTATTAATTAATTAAAACTTTATTGTGTTCTAGTGTTAAAAAAAGTTTTTTAATAAATAAATAGATATGTACAATATTATGTAATATAAAATAAATAAATAGATAAATTAGAACCCCTACACCACTGTATGATTATTGTCAAGTGTCATGAAATTTAAATTTGGCGCATTTGCATTTCCGGATATGTCCGCCATCAGAGGCCACTTTTTTGGTCTCCTTTTCATAACGATTAGATTCCCTCTTTTGTCTTATTGCTCGATGGGTAGGTGTGTTCTTTTTTAGAATCACTTTACCGAGTATATTGGCATTACAGCCACTAGACATATTTTATTATATGCGCGTAGAAATAATATTTATAAATTTCTATTAGTGTTAACTTAAAGAAATACACAATAATATATTTCATTTAATTTGTATAAATACATTATAAACCGTTTTTATCAAGAACATTTGTTCGGAACACACTGTAACTGTTTGGCATAAATTGGTAACACTTACTTGACAGTTGCGGTGTTGACACTTTTTCTACTTTATTATTTTGAATTTTAAAATGAATATCTCTTGTTTTATATTTGTTCCTATTTAATAAAATTTGTTCT